GATTGAGGAGATCCTCGAAGTACTCCTTCCACCGCCCAATAATGTCCCCAGTCGAGGTCAGCAGCCTCCCACCCCCACTATAAACAGTGTTGGCGAAGCACTGCTTCCCCCTCCTGAGGCGCCGGACGGTTTGCCAGAATCGCTTCGAGGCCGACCGGTAGTCCTTCTCCATGGCCTCACCGAACTCCTCCCAGGCCCGAGTTTTTGCCTCTGCCACAGCTCGGGCCGCAGCACCCTTGGCCTCACGTTACCCGTCATGGTACCGCCTCAGGAATCCCACAAGCCAACCACAGCCGATAGGACTCCTTCTTCAGCTTGACAGCATCCCTTACTGCCGGTGTCCACCACCGGGTTCTGGGATTGCCGCCGCGACAGGCACCGCAGACCTTACGGCCGCAGCTACGGGCAGCAGCATCGACAATAGATGCGGAGAACATGGTCCACTCGGACTCTATGTCTCCAACATCCCCCGGAATCTGGTCAAAGCTCTCCCGGAGGTGGGAGTTGAATACATCCCTGGCCGAGGGCTCCGCCAGGCGTTCCCAGCAGACCCTCACTATGCGCTTGGGCCTGCCAAGTCTGTCCGGCTTTCTCCTCCTCCAGCGGATCCAACTCACCACCAGGTGGTGATCAGTCGACAGCTCAGCCCCTCTCTTCACCCGAGTGTCCAAAACATGCGGCCGAAGGTCTGATGATACGACAACAAAGTCGATCATTGACCTCCTGCCTAGGGTGTCCTGGTACCAAGTGCACTGATGAACACCCTTATGCTTGAACATGGTGTTCATTATGCACAATCCGTGACTAGCACAGATGTCCAATAACAAAACACCACTCGGAGTCAGATCGGGGAGGCCATTCCTCCCGATCACGCCTCTCCAGGTGTCACTGTCGTTTCCCACGTGGGCGTTGAAGTCCCCCAGCAGAATAATGGAGTCCCCGGGAGGGGCACTATCTAGCACCCCCGACAGGGACACCAAGAAGGCCGGATACTCCGCACTACTGCTCGGCCCGTAGGCCGAAACGACAGTCAGAGACCTATCCCCGACCCGAAGGCGCAGGGATGCGAAACTCTCATCCACCGGGGTAAACCCCAACACTAGACGGCTGAGCTGGGGGACAACAAGCAAACCCACCCCAGCCCGCCACCTCACCCCGTGGGCCACTCCAGAGTAGAAGAGAGTCCAGCCCCTCTCAAGGAGATGGGTTCCAGAGCCCACGCTGTGCGTGGAGGCGAGCCCGACTATTTCTAGTCGATATCTCTCGACCTCCCGCACAAGCTCAGGCTCCTTCCCCCCCAGTGAGGTAACATTCCACGTCCCTAGAGCCAGCCTAAACGTCCGGGGATCGGGCCGCTGAGGTCTCCACCTTCGTCCGCCACCCAATCCTCTTTGCACCAGTCCCTCACGGTTCCCGCTGCAGGTGGTGGGCCCACTGGGGGATGGCCTCGCGTCTCTCGTTCGGGCTTGGCCCGGCCGGGTCCCGCGAGGAGCAACCCGGCCACCAGGCTCTCTCCGACGAGTCCCGAACCCAGGCCTGGCTCCAGGGTGGGACCCCGGCTCCGCCATACCGGGCGACGTCAGGTGCCTCGATTTAGTGGTCCTCATGAAGGATTCTTGAACCGCTTTTTGTCTGACCCATCACCTAGAGCCTGTTTGTCATGGGAGACCCTACCAGGGGCATTTAAGCCCCAGACAACATAGGCTCTAGGATCATTTGAACACTCAAACCCCTCCACCACGTTAAGGTGGCGATTCAAGGAGGGGATAACAATAACCTATAACCCGGTAAGGAACAAATTTCTCATTAGGACACATTCTGTATTAAAATGTTGTTTATTGGTCTGATGAAATATTAAATCTCATGTTTCCATTGGCTGGAAGCAGAAAATCATTATAATTAACAGAAATAAAGGTTTGAAAACGTCAGTCTGGGTGGAATTACTCACTGAGTGAAATAAATGAACATTTCAGTGATTTTCTCATTTTTCTGAACATGACTGTATCAGAGGCAGGCTGATATTTGTCTAAACCCTGTTATTAAAAAGGAACAGTTCTTAATTAACATTCTCATACTCAAGTTTTAAAGAGACAATATTTTTTTAAAGTTTTGCACAGAAGCCCAGATCACCAACCACCCACCACCGTGCTTGACAGTTGGCATGAGGTGTTTGGTTCTCTCCAAACATGGTTCTGGCCAAACATCTCCACTTTCATCTTATCTGTCCAAAGAACGTTTTTTCCAGAAGTCTTGTTCTTCATTCAGATGCAGCTTAGCCAACCTTAGGTTCTGCTGCCATCCTGTTCGTAGAGAGAAGAGGCTTTCTCTTTCAACCCTTAAGCCACCTGGCCAGTCTTCTCTCAGATTAATGGCCAGCAACAGTTGCTTCACTGAGCTCATTGCTGATGTCTTTCCCTCTTGACATTGAGTTCATACACACCTGTACGCTCTTGCACTGCAAACTGACAAAACTCCTGCTTTTATCGATGATGATCAGATAATCAGTTCATCTAATCAGCAGAACCTGGCTGCTATACTTTCCCTCTCAAATCCTATGAAAGCAGCAAGGGTGTACTTTGTTTTTGCGCAGCGTCTTCCATTTTATCTTTGTCTTTGTTTAATAAATGATGATGTGGAAACTAGATTTAGGGAATTGTAACTATCCTTTTGGCTCTGCACACATTTGTTCTGTGTTGACTTTCTGTTGTTTTACTTCATCCAGAATGAAGAGCTGTTCGGTTCCCTGAAAGCAGCTGAATAAATGATATGATCTTAATTTATTTGGGAATCTTGGTTAGTATTGGGTGGTAACGGCAGTGAGAGTTGGAGTAGCTGACAGGAGTACCATCAGAACTAAAATGCAGAAAACAGAAGCAAAGTGTCATAGTATGACATCTTTGGACTTGGTTTGTGTTTTTGTGTTAACTGTTGCTTAGGTCTATGTTTCCCTTTATTTGTTAATTAGTTCCACCTGTCCCTTCTGCGTCCCTGTCTCCTTGCCACACCTGTTGCAAGGATTACCTGTGATTACCTGCCTTTGTTTTCTCCCTGTATATTAGTTGGTCTGTGTTCTTTGTTCCCCGCTGGTTCTTCCGTCACAATCCCTGGTTCTGTTTCTCTAAATTTTCCTGCTGAGAACTCTCATGTAAGTTTTTGTCTGGATTATTGTAGTACCTGCAGTGACTCGCTACGTGTTGGTAAATACCTCTGGAAATAAATTCTGAACACTCTTACAAACATGCTGCTCCCAAGCTCTTGTCTGCGCTTTGGTCCGATCCGAACACAGAACGTGACACAAAGCTTAGCTGTGGATTTACAGTCCATTGAGCCGTGGTGAATAAATATTGTCTGAAGGTTTGGTTTGAACAAATGCTGACAAGCACTTACACTTGGAGTAGATGTAAATATTTGAATCTAGCTGAAAATACAGGAAAGGAGCAATCATCTGTTGGTTTCAGTATTCTTACTTTCTGCTATGTGACTGTAAATAAAACAGGGAGGCTTTACATCTTCCTGCATGAGGGGTTGGTGTTTTGGTTCTTAATGTGTTTTTAGTCAGAGCATTTTAGTCTTGGTTTCTTTGGTTCTGGTTCTGTTGTGTTCGGTTCAGCGTCTTCTGTGTTCATTATGTGTTTTATTGTCTCCTTCCCTCTGTTGTTCAGGGTTCCCCTGATGAAGCTCACCTGGTTTGTTCTCTGCTGGTTTGTTCTTTTGGGCTCAAATTGGTTCCACGCCCTGTTCTCCTCTTTCCTCTCCTGTAGGTCTTCCTTGTTTAACTATTATTAAACTCTGGCCATCATTACCTCCATCTTATCTGCATTTAGGTCCTTCAACAGCTAAGCATCATGATGATGGCGCTCTATGCTTGTGTCCATCATCATCATCAAGAAGCTGATGAAGACATGCAGGGAGCGCCTGTGACTTCAGATGATACCATTAACCTGTAAAAGACTCCTGAAGGAGTCTGTTCAATGTCACAGTGTAGCTCTGAGGGCGTATCTGACGAAGATCACGTGTCCACATGTGATCATCCTCATAACAGCAGGGGCAAAGGTCAGGAGCAGAGAACAACTCCTGCTGTAAACACACCCACCCACTCACACACACACACACACACATTACATCTTTCTATTTTTAGGACTTCAACACACGACTCCAAACTACATGTTTCTTAATGAAAAACAATCCACAATCCCCCTCTGATGCCTCCCTGACTGGAATCCGTTTTCTGTGTGAAAACATTTCAAAATAAAAGTGGAAAAAAAGTAAATCAAAGAAGCTGCATATTTTTATTTCAGACATTTTTAAGGTTTTGCCTCCTCAGTTGTTTTCATGTTATGTATTAGCATTGGTCAGTACAGTGAATGTGCTAACTCTGTCTGTCTGTGTTTAATATGAATTAGTCTGTGAGTTTGCTTTAACTCTACTTTTCAAAATGGCTTCACGATGAATGCTGCTGATCTACAGCTTGAGTTTCTTCTTTAAAAACTTGTGTGCAAATGTTTGACATGAACCGAACCTGCTGTGAAGACAAGTTGAAGCTTCAACAATCACAGAACAACAGTCCCGTGTCACATACTTACATGTATGGTATGCATGCCTCCTCCATGGGGCATGTGCTCTTGGATATGGTCATAAAGATGCCAACTGTTCATGACAGACGGGTGGAGCTGGTGCAGCCACAGAGGCCATGTGGAGAGAAGAGGCTCCTCAAGAGCAGAAACAGTAGCTCAGATCAGCGCTGATCCCTGGGTTCAAGTTTAAAGACAGGAGACGACAACTTGCAGCAATGACGACCACAGAGCGACACACTGGTGGAGGAAAAGGCTTCTCATGTGACACAACAGAACAATGCTGAGGATGGTCAGCTGTTTCTCCAGCTGCTTGTTCAATTAAACTCAGTTCATTCATTTTCTATACCTGCTTCTTCTGTACAGGATCACAGGGGAGCTGGTGCTGAGTGCTCCTGTGTGGGGAGAACATGCAAACTCCATCCAGAAAGACCCCAGGCTGGGATTCGAACCCAGGACCTTCTTCCTGGGCAACAGTGCTACCAACTGCGCCACTGTTTAGCCCTTCAGTCGTATTCAATTCGAAAATCCTTTATTCATCCCAAAGGTAAATTAAATGTTGCTGTAGCTCAGATTCTGCAGGTTTCTTCAGAGAACCACTGTAGATGCTGATGGCTGTGGGCAGGAAGCATCTCCTGTAGCGTCTGTCTTACAGCAGATCTGAAGAAGCCTCTGACTGAAGACACTGTTATTGTAGGACAGTCTGATGAAGAGGATGCTTAGGGCTCAGTTCAGTTTTATTTATTTAGCACCAAATCACAAGACGTATGAAGGCCCTTTACAAAGTCAATTTAATTGTACGTACATTCCATTTGATCTTAACTATAAAACTGTGCAGTCAGATTCAGTTTATTATTTAAACAGGTTAATGGTTTTCTAAGGTTCTCCATAATGTTCTTCATTTAATGAAGAATTACTCATCTTCAGAGGCTGAAGTATAATGTGATGAGCCTGCTCTCCAGTCTGGGCTGATTTAACTAAAAACTGTACGTCCATCAGCAGTGCGAGAAACACCAACATTTACCTTTGGTTCGGTGTAGAAGCTTGAAGATGAAACTGATGCCATGAAAATTAGTTTAAACCAAAAAGATTTTTAAAAATGGAGAAGGTATCAAAAGCCAGTTCAGTCGGATAAAGTCCAACTTTCTGCCTGGTGTCTGAACTTTCAATGATACTTCTGCTGTAAAGTTGGAGCTCCACGGTTAAAAACGAGCTGCTGAACAGTGTTCCTCAATGTTTTGCCCAAAATGTTATGTTCATGTTTTTTGCATCTTGTTGCAAATTTTATAAACAGTGTGGGGTTTATGTCTACCGAAGGTCAATGTGTAAAACTACACAACGCTGTGGGAAGGTTAGCAAACCGAAAATCATGGACGATGTGAAGAATTTATTTTTCTAAGCTTGTTTCCGTGCTAATCCAGTGGAACCTTAAAGCAGCCTGCATGTTTTCATGGTGAATGCTTCTCCAGTCCGAGCTACTGCAGCGTTGAAGGAGTTTATGCACTGGTGCCCATCACACCCTGAAAATGATCCCAGTTTGGTATTTGAAGTGCCTCAGCTGCTATTCAGCTGCTCCTCGCTTTATTAGGAGGGACTGGCCTTCATCCTGAACTTTGGGACAATGCTGATAAGGAGGTCGGAACTGAATAATGCAAAATAGGTACAAACCTGCATGACTCCTAATGAATGGTATTACTCGTAAAAGTGAAAAAGCTTCTCTCAGTATGAAACTCAGCATGAAACTCATAGACAGATAAAAATGGGCCATTTGATGTGAAAGTGAGGATGAGTCAGACGGACCGTCAACTGGAAACCAGAAATTGTGATGCGAAGAGGAGGCAGCAAAGAGAAGAAAACTGTCAAAAGGTTCAAAATGAAGGGGGAATGAGAAGAACACAAGACTGAAGGACAAGAGATGAAAAAAGGGTGGAGTTTAAAGAGCAGGGAGACCATCGTGGATCAGATGTGCAGAGAAGAAAGCTTGAGGAGGGGAATTCAAGAAGCAGTGGTCAGTAATTGAGGGGTTCAAAAGTTGATTCACATTCCTGCCAAGTAAGAATACAGAACAATGAGCAGAGAATGTAGGACAGCCTGAGACAGTGGAAACAAATGAGGAGAACAGATGAAGTTCTCCCTCTGTGGACCTCCTAAAGTTTAATTACTGCTTTCTGCAGAATATCAACAAGTATTGGTTAGATTGATTACTGTGTGTCAATCAGCCCGTCCACAGACAGGGATGGAGAAAACCCTCAGCCTAACCCAGGGCTTAACCATCCAGCGCACAAGAGAGGTGGAGAAGAGCATGAAGACAGGGTGGAGAGGATGGAATGTAATCAGTATGGTGTGGAGACAGATGCTCTAACAAAACAGACATTGAGCTGGAGACGTTCAGACAGGAGCTGGAGACATTCAGACTGGAGATGTAGAGGTTGAGATAGGAGAGACATCCAGTTTTTCACCTGGAAGGACCAAAATGGAAATACTTACAAATTAGGAATGTCAAAAGCAACCACTGAGGTTAAAAATCCAAGGCTGATATGTTTTGACATCTGCAGAGGAGGGGCAGTGGGCATATTGGACAGAAGACAATGAATCTGGAGCTGTCAGTGAGGAGGAAAAGAGGAAGTCCACAGAAAAGGTTTTATGGATCAAGGAAAGGAGGATATGCAGATGGATGACCCAGCAGAGAGGCAGCTGATGTGTTGTTTGGGTTCCATACCAACCACTCAACAGGCTTTTACACTTGGAGACTCTTTCACCCAGCTGTGCTCATTTCATACACTAGTATGCAGATCAATAGGCAACTTGAAATTAAGCACCTTGCCCAAGGGCAAAAACACTAGGCAGGCAGTAGGAATCATGCCTACAACTTTCAATTGCAAGAGAACGAGTGCAGCAGCTGCAGCTCTGTGACTCAAGCTAACCACAGTAACAGGGAACACGTGGAACAGTGGAGAACCTTCCCAGGAGATGCCAGCCTAACAAAATTACTGCAGGAGGGCATAGATGAGTCACAGGAGAACTCAGAACAACATCTAAAGCTCTGCAGACCGCATTACCTCAGTTAGGGTCAGAGGTTATGATTTAACAATATGACAGAGAGACTGGGCAAAAATGTTCTAAGGCCAGAACCACTGCTGATCCAAATGAACACAAGGTCCCGTCTCACATTTACAAAAAAACATCTTGATGATCCCCAAGACTTTTCGAAAAATATTCTGTTAACTGATGAGATAAAAGTGGACCTTTCCAGAGGGTGCGTGTTCTGTTATATCTGCTGTAAAACTAACACAGCATTTCAGGAAAAGAACATCACACCTGCCTTCAAACATGGTGGAGGCAGCATGATATTCTGGGCCTGCTTCGCTGCTTCAGGAACTGGACGACTTGCTGTAATTAATTGGACAGTGAGTCAGAAAATCCTGCAGGAGAATATCCAATTTAGACTTTAGCTCTCTTCGGTTGCAGCAGATTAGATGATTAGACGTATTCCAGAAGAGGCACCTCTGAATAGCCTAAAATATAATTTAAGAAAGGGTTTTGGAGTGGCCTAGTCAAAGTCTGGACTTAAATCTGATGGAGATGCTATGGTATGACCTTAAACAAGTTGTTAAATCTCCAGAACCACTGCAGCGTGGCTGAATTTAAAACTCCTGTAAAGCAGAGTGGGCCAAAGAATCCTCCACAGTGGTGTAAAGACTCATTGCCACTTTTACAAACACCTGATGGCAGCTGTTGTTGCCAAGGGGGGAACAACCAGTTATATGAAGAAGTCATCATTTAAAATCTGCTGTTTGTATTTACTCAGGCTATTTTTGTCTAATTATAAAATTTGTCTGGTGATCTGAAACATTTAAGTGTGAGAGTGTGAAATCTGCAGGGGGGCAATTACTTTTTCCAGTACTGAACATATAAATAACATGGAAAAGAATAATAAATATAGCTTATGTTTCCATGTAGACCAGCATGTGCATTACACAACAGATTAAGCATGTGGTCCTGTGGGATTTAAATAAACTGATAAAAATACAAAGTGGTGAGACTGTGTCCTCATCTCACAGCTGGATCATTTCCGTCACTTCTTCCTCTCATCTATCCTACACTGTTCATATCTTTGTGTCCCGTCACTCCGCCACATTCCTCCTCAGTCTTTCTCCAATTATATTACAAACTTTTTCTCTTCCATCTCCTTATTTTCTCTGTTACACTCCCTCTCTTGTTTTTCTCTTATTCTTATTCTTTCACTTTTACCAACTTTTTACCAACCCATTCTCTGTCATTTTGTCTCCCAGGTTTCAGCCCTCCTTCCTCTCTTGTTGCTTGATACTCATCAGATTTCAGCCACATTTGGACTCACATGAAGCTCAACAATTATTATTTTAGTTGTCGCTAATTAATCAATTGATAACTGACGCTTAATGTCAATTTTAACAATACTGGAAAATTCTACTGATGCAACTTCTGGTGAGGAATAAATAAGGACACTCCACATTTATTCATACTTAAAATTGCTAAAAGCACTTGCAGGTGTTTCACACCAGGGTCACATGATTAGAACATTGTTACTCAGCATTTTGAAGCAGGTTTTCTCTGTTTAAACCTCAGACCTTTAGCTTGGTGCTTCTGACTGTTGAGGTAAACACCATGGTGAGATCCAAAGAGCTGTCTGAAACCTTCAGAAAAATATAAGGTCTTGTAAGGGATTTAAAAAGTCTCAAAGAATTTAAAATCGGCCTTTCCACTGTATGGAAAAATGTCTTCCAGTGGAGAACATTTAAAACATCTTCCAGCATGCCACGTCTGGCTGTCCAAGCAAGTTCACCCTGGAAGCAGACCACAAGATGCTAAAAGAAGTCTCCAAAAACCCCTATGATGCCATCACAGGACCTACCGCAGGCTCTTGGTATGGTCTTGCTTCACACAGACCAGTCTGAATGGATCTTTGTGGACACCAGAACACAGGACCTGGCCGACACAGCATCACGTCCTCAATGACTATAGACCTGTTGCTCTGACATCCCACACCATGAAGGTCCTAGAGAGACTCCTGTTGGACCACCTGAGTAAGCAAACAATAAACTATCAGGACCCACTTCATTTGGCTCATCACTGTGGAGTTGGAGTTGAAGATGCCATCAAACACCTGCTTCAACAAACCCACTGTCATCTGAACAAAGCCAGCAGCACCGTGAGGATCATGTTCTTTGATTTCTCCAGAACATTTAACACAATTCAACCTGATTTGCTTTGTCAGAAACTCCAGAAGACTCAGGTGGAGGCCTCAACAATCTCCTGGATCAAAGACTACCTGACAAACAGACCACAGTCTGTGAGACTGAAGGTTGTGTGTCTAACCAGGTAGTCAGCAGCACAGGAGCACCACAGGGGACGGTACTCTCACCATTCCTCTTCACTCTGTACACCTCAGACCTCCAGGACCAGACAGACTCCTGTCATCTGCAGAAATACTCGGATGATTCTGCAGTCGTGGGGTGGATCAGAGA